CCCCAAAACCCCAAAACCCCAAAACCCCAAAACCCCTCCAATTCAAATCAATATTGAAATTTACTTAAATTGCATACGTTTTTGACCAAACTTCTTCTACTTTTGGTCAGTATTCTCAGTCAATTTTGAAATATCAAGCTGGATTTTCTCTTCCTTAAGAATACGTTTAAGCCTATCTTCAGGGGTCACTGGCTTTAGCCTCGGGTTCTTACCGACTCCAAGAACTGGGCCTTCCTCAGAATCTGTGACACTGGCCTTGAATAGAGCGTTAACTTGGGGTTTGCCCTTGTTTTCTATATTTACTAAAGCATTTTTCTGGATTGTTGAACCGAATACGGCGTCTTGTGATTTTCTTTGTCCATGAAGAGTTTTGGACTTAAAATGATGAGAAGCATCCTTATATCTCTGATTCTCAGTAGCAGTAGCTACTCTTTCAAGTGACCTCTTCTTCAGCACCTTGTTATCTCCCATATCGTCTTTCCCTTCTTCATAAGGATAGAACTCTGCGATGTTTTGGTGTCTAAGCTTCTGATTGAAGTCCTTCTTGGACCGAGGTTTAGTATAAATCATTTCTTCAGGAAGAGTCTTTAGCCGGTTAGCTTCATTATCTTCTTTAGCTTCCTCAATTATGCTATCATTCGCACTGGAGTTACCCTCTACAGGACCTTCTAGGCTCTTTTTCGAGGGATAAAATGATGACTTCTCTCTCTTTGTCAGAGGGGTTGAAGAAGCAATCTTATTTAAGTCAGAGTCTCTTTTAATGCTCTCACTCCTTATTATTGGAGATATCTTGATTTTGCCATCATCCGCTGAAGAACTTGAGGATATTTTGTTTTGAGATCATTCAGAGCCGTCCATGTTACTGAGGAGGATGTCCTCTCTCTTGATTTTTCACCTAGAGTCGTCGCTTCCTCCCTTCTCTGATTTCTTTGGAGGGATTTGCAAATAATCTTCTTGCTTGTCAAGGTCCTCTGGACTATCATCCTCTTCATAATTTAGATGCTACAAGATTATGCTAAAGATTACTTTGCTATAGGATTGTGCTAAATTTTGGTTCTGGGAGAACTCAAGGGGCTCAACATTGTTCCTATCAGACTTTTTGGTCCTCTCTCCATCTTCAGGAGAATCACTTAGATTTAAGAATAAAAAACTTACAATCTATGAAGTTCTATAGAGGGTTTCTCTCTAGAATTAGATGAATTCTCCGATAGCGGGCTTCTGTTGATCTCTTTTGTCGGTGAGTCACTATCATATTTATCTTCATTCGGGTCTTCTTCCACAGGCTCAATCTTCACCGGCAGGGAGGAGATTTTATTCTGCATTTCAATGTGCTCTATCTCTAGAAATTATTAGCTAAACTACCTCTTGGCTTATATTCACAGATTTCTTCAGAGTCGTCTTCCTTAGGAAATTCTTTATCTCTTGAAGACCGAATAGAGCTGACATCATTTGTCAACATTTTTGGGAGAAGGTCAGCATTTGACCTACTGACAGTCAGAGATTCTTTAACGCTCTTCTCAGTGATGGTACCTTCATTAAAGATATGGTCTGAGATAGCTTGGTCTTCCTTCGTTGTGGTGTGCAAGTTAACCTGCTTTCCATCCTGTGCACTTTGCTTGATTCACTTCTTTAAAAGTTTATCTTTTATAATCTTTGTGATGTTGAATTTCAACTGCAAGAATAAAAATGTGGAGTGCAAAACGAACCACACGAAAAATAGGATAGCAACCCAATCAACTTTGGAATCGTAATATTGGTTCAAGATTGTACTGTATGAAGAATATTGCTCAAACTTCAAACTTGTAGCATGAACTGTTGTTGAGTAGTATGTAGCAGATATTTGGATTTCACCAAGAGAGTCAAGCTGCTTGTCACTGCCCAAAGTTTGGTAATCAATTAGTGCTCTGAAGTTTTGTTTTTCTTCCTCTCTTCCTCTCATAAAATTACTAGAAATAGTCATAGTTTGGTCTCCAAGATTCCTTCTATTTGTTTCATTATTTGAGGATAGTTGACTTTTAAAGGACATCCTTTGATTGCTAAAAGACAAGGTTATGACGAAGTCAGTCGCTAGATCCTTCTGCCCAGAGTTCTTAATATCAAGATCAACAAAGAATCTCCATTTGCCATCATCAGGTTTATATCCACCTCATTCTTGAATTTTAGGAGTTCAGACATCAATCCTATTAGCTATAGCGGAGATTTGCTCTGCTGCTTTTTCAATAGCATAAATTCCGATTTCAAGATTATCATCTATTACCTTCTTGATTTTATCCGAATCTGTCTGATTAAGCGGGAGTATCCCATATTCTGTTGAGCCAACACTGAGAGTAAAGGCGATGATCTTCTTTAGACCTGTGAAATAGTCATCATTATCTCCATTATTAGGCTTCGAGAATAAAGCTTGATGATTTCCAATAGAAATATCCTGGTTTATTAATTTTATGTCGGAATCAAGAGAGCTGGTAAACCATCCGAAACTGCCTGATTTCAAAAGAGCATTTGTGCCATCAGAAGCATAATTATAGGGGTATTTTAAGAAACTTTGACCACTCTCAACACTAAACATCACTGTGGGTGATAACACATTTGAGTAGAACTCTGTAAAGACTTGGACCTCTTTCTCAGACATGGAGGAAGAGCCTCTGTAAAGACTGTTGCATTCCACTGGCGAGGAGCCATTAACATTCAGTCCCCATTGGTGCTGGTAATTGTTCATAAGATTAACCCCCAGATCAGAGGAGCTACATCCTCCTGTTGCCTTCCTGTTATTTTATTACAGATTGAACATCATTGATGGACCCTGCATAACTCTGAATATACTTATATCCGTCAATATTTAAATAAGGAACAACCCAGATGTGTCTGAGTTTGAGAAGATTCATTATTTTACCGTCATTATGATGAAATCCGTGCACTAATTTTCCCAGCAGAGCCATAATATAGTTATTAGCCACCATGCTGTTCGCATGATGCCCTCCAACAATTACTGCGCTTGGCTTGGCAGAATCCTGCACAAGTTCTGTAGTATTGGAGATTCCTAAGGAATCTACCTGACTAGTATACCTGTAGCTGAGATGAATAGCATAAATACTATTCCCTTCTTCGGTATTACCAATATTTCTTACTTCTCTGACAAGGTAAGGATACTCAGAAGCGAGCGCTTGATAAAAGCTTAAGCTCTCATCCCAATCCATGAAAGGCCTGCTCAAACCATCGACTTGTTGGCTAATCTTGCTTACTATCTCATTAAAATCCTGGGTTGTTAGAAACTCGCTTGGCTCAATAGTAAGCCCTGCGGCCATAGTCAGCACAAGAGATATTACCAGTACTTGGAAAACTCAAGTACCCCATCCAAAACCACCTTGCCTCCTCTCACACCCATCTATCTCCCTTCACTCCTGTCCACATCCCCTCTCTCTCCCTATACCTCTTCCTCCTTCCTTCCTAATTCCTTCCTCTCCTCCTGCACCACTTCTCAGAAATCCCCACTCAAGTTTGTTCACAATCTGTTCCTCCAGTTATAAGTTTTCGGGAATTTCCTCTAAATTTCATATTTTATATATTATAAATGATATGGGGTTTTGGGGTTTTGGGGTTTTGGGGTTTTGGGGTTTTGGGGTTTTGGGG